GCATAAACGACACCTGCTTCCCACCTTAACAGAGTGCAATGCAATACCAGACATCAAAGACGAGATCCCTACACCTGACATAGCAATGGCTCATCTGCATCTCCGCCCAATTGCAGATCAGATGCCTGAAGCCCAACGTGACACCGACATCATTCTGCTCATTGGGACAGTTATACCATCACTTCACAAAGTTCGAGAGTCTAGAAACGGAAGGGGAACTCGCCATGGGCACAACGATTAGACCTCGGATGGGTCATATTTGGCAATACGTGTCTAGACGGTCGATCGTAAACCAGATATGAAAGAACATTACTTTGCCTCCACGCAAAATATTCTAGATAACGGGCATGCCGAGCCTGTGCCTCCAAGCGAAGTGGTTACATCAAAGCCCTGTTGGTTCTTGCCTCATTCCTACACAGATTGTTAGCACTAAGAGGTCCAGTAGCTCAGCTTCGTTCAGACTGCGGTACGAACTTCGTTGCGGAGCGGAATGAGTTAATTGGAAGCAGCGATGAACGAGATGGATAAAAAGATATCGAATGCTACCTAGTTCGCGAAGGTTGCGAATGGATCTTCAATCCTCCGCACGCATCACATGCGGGTTGGATATGGGAACGGATTACTCAAGGATGGACCCCCTCAAAGATTACTCAAAGATATACTCAAAGATGGACCCCCTCAAGCTAAGATAATTCCAAAATGTATGGTCATTAATACCCGTTCATTGGTCAAACCTGATGCTCTACCAGCATTGACGGCTGAACTTCTCCATATCAATATAGACGTCTGTTTTATTACAGAAACATGGCTAATTCATAAGTGCATCCCCACAACTTTAATATGTCCAAGTGGTTATACCATAGTTCGTAAGGATCGTGATTTTCGGCCAGGAGGTGGGGTTGTAGAAAGTTGTGTAGAAATGATTGGAAAATTATTAATGTCGACCTCGATAACAATTTCGAATGTATCTGGTGCGAAATTCACACTATGAATAGTTCAGTGTATCATCCACCTGAGCCAATTTACAACGAATCTGATTTGCTTAATTTTTTATCTGAATACTGTGAGAAGATTCTGTTATTGCAACCTAATGCCAAAATAAAAACTACGCATGCACGACTTTTGCATTCAGCACAACTTTGATCAAATCCTGAGGAAACCTGCTAGAGGTGCTCGGATACTGGATGTTTTCTTGACCAATATCCCTCATTTATGGAAGGCTCCTATAGTCTTTAGATGTTTGGTACGCTCTGATCATTCTGCGGTTGTTGTGACTCCGCAGCTACCTGTTAAGCCTGAGAAAATTTGTATATTTTCGTGATGTGAGGTACCACCGAAAAATAAAAATGGAGAATAAATTGAAGGCATATGACTGGAGCCGGATTTACGATGCCAACACTGACGATGTTGACGAAGGAGTCGAGTTGTTGGATTAAACTCTTTGTAATATGTTCAATGAGTGCTTTCCCATGATTAAAGTCAAAATGTCGACTCATGATCCACCATTTATTTCCCCGCTTGTAAAGCATCTGTGATTAATAATGTACGGAATAGGGAACTTATGAGAGGCGCTGATACTGACCTAATTCAACAGAAGATAAATAAACTTATTCGAGAAAACTAAGTCAAAGCCATTCATGACGATAAAATCAATTACAGTCAAGGTCCTCGAAAATGGTGGAAAACCGTTAACCAAATTACTGGGAGAAGATCTAGGTCGGAAAATATTAGTAATATTATCAATCCAGAAATTATGAATGCTTACTTTCAAGGTATAAACACTGATAACGAGTACGTGAGACCCGATCCATTGACAATCCCTGAAGGAACCCGAGTTCCAACTGTTGATGTCAAAACTGTTGAAAACTTTATGATGAGACAAAAACAAACATCACCTGGTCCGGATGGTACTCCGTATTGGGTTTGGAGGGATTTTGCCTGCTATCTTGCACCAGTTCTTACAAATGTATTGAATTCTTCTTTGAGACAGCAGCGTGTACCTAGTGTGTGGAAGCTAGCGAATCTAAGCCCATTACCTCAGGAATCTCCGTTAACCGAATGCGATCAATTGAGACCAATATCGTTGACCCCTTGACCTCTTGGCCCCTTCTTATTTTCGTTAATGGTCAACGACATTGAAACCAAACAATCCACAAACGAACAATTTGGTCAAGTTTGCAGATAATTTAACAGTGAGTGTTCCTGTCACATCGTCTGGTGACTCGGCTTTGGACTAGGTAACTAACATTGAGAGTTGGGCAAGCAACAATAGAATGAAACTCAACTTGAAAAGAACCTGGGAAATGTTACTATGTACTCGTTCACCTGCCATACCTCCCCCCCCCCCATATTAATGGAATACGACGTAAAATATGGATAAAACTACTTGGTGTCACCTTCCAAGAAAACCCACGTTGTTGGGACAAGCAGGTAGATAGCTTGTTGTCAAAGGCAGGAAGTCGAATTTACATCCTGAGAGTTTGTAAATTCTACGTACGGATATTCGCTAAATGAACTTACTAAATTGTTCGATTCATTGATCCTGTCGTTATTTTACTATGCAATTGAAGTATGGGGATCGACTTTGCAAGCGAAATACATTGATAAATTCAACAAGTTTCTCAATCGTGCATTCCGATATGGATACATTCAAAATAAATATTCTATGGCCAAGATGATTGTGGAGAGGGATCGATTATTGTTCAATAAGGTCATGCACAATCCTGAACATTGCCTACATGAGTTGTTACCGGAAGAACGTCAACGACCTTTAAGAGAACGCGATCATCAATTTATGTTACCAAAAGTTTACACAGAACGTTTTAAACAATCATTTTTGAACAAGTGTCTTTTTAATGACTTTTAGCTTTAAAATTTTGTTATACGATATATATTAACTATAACGTAAATGATTTAATTTATAAATAATATTAAATTTGTAAATAATCTAATTAACATTTCTCATATGCACTGAACGTTTTAAACAACTTTTGATGACTTGTAAATAATCTAATTACTATATATATATATATATATATATATATATATATATATATATATATATATATATATATATATATATATATATATATATATATATATATATATATATGAATGAATGAATGAATGAATGAATGAATGAATGAATGAATGAATGAATGATCGGAATTGCGAGAAGGATTTTGGATTCTATGCTGTCGGAACTACATCTAAACGGCTTACGCACGAAGTACTCTTCACCTTAATGGCGGAAGTCCCGGCAATTGTCAACAACAGGCCTAATCCCAGTGTCCAACGATCCCGAAGCGCCAGAAATCCTTACCTCATCAATCCTATAAACCCAGAAACCGACAGCCTTGACCACAACACCAGGACAGTTCACCTCGAAAGATTTGCACACCGCACAGTGGCGACAAATGCAATATTTGGCAGGGGCGGCGGAACAGAGGGGGCTAGGGGGGCTAAAGCCCCCCCAGAAGTAAAAATGGGGGGGCTTAGCCCCCCAGAAAATTTGAATTTTTGGAAAAAAATTTGATAATTAGGGAAAAATTTAGGTTATTTTTTGAAAATTTAGGTATAAGGGGGGGGGGGGGGGTCGCCGAAAAAATCCGAAAAAATTTAGCCCCCCCCCAGAACGAAATCTGTTCCGCCGCCGCTGATATTTGGCCAACGTTTTCCGGTCTCGTTGGCGGAAAGAATTGTTACCTATGTTACAGCCAAGACGAAAATGGCAATGCGAGCAACCCAATTTAAAAAAAATAGATCTGGTTCTGCTCAGAAGCAAGGAAGTTGCGAGAAACATGTGGAGCCTTGCACTTGCAACTGAGGCCCACGAAAGCGCTGATAGGAAAGTAAGAAAGATTGAGCTGATGACTGCCAAGGACGGTGTAAAACACAGTTACACTAGACCAGTTAACAAGGTTATTTTATTAAGTAATGTAGACGAACTTAATCCGAAGCCTTAGAGAACTTGATAAAAGAACAAACTTCAAACAGGTCATATTAGTTATTGTTATAGTCTATATATTCATAGTATTCGAACAGATATTACGAACAGTTGTAGTAGTATCTTCATACCAGGTGGGGAGAGTTCTGTCCCCTCCCCCGGTTCACCAAGTAGTTACGTCATTTCGCCCCATTTTCTTCGTTATCGAGCTGTCATTGGCTGCAGTTTTACTTACAAGGGGGGGGCGTCCATTTTCATATGTTGTTGTTGTTGTAATGTCGCTCAATTCGAGCACACTTTTTTCACCTATTTGTTATAAGTTTATCGGAATAAACGCAAAGTACAGTTCGTTACCGTGCTGATGAAGAGCCCCAAATGTATCAGAACAGGGAAATTGATAATTATGTAGTCAAAAGTGATATTTTTAGGGGATTTTTCAATTATAAAAATATTCTTAATAATTACGTTACCATGACAACTACTTTAAATACTTCATGTTCGGAAAATACAATGGTTTGTCAGCAAGGTGAGGGTTTCTGCATGCATGTATTTTCTACTTTCTAGTATCATGCATGAGAAAATACATAAGGCAGGCAGGCATGCAGACCTAGCAAATTGTCCAATTCAGTTTTAAGTAGAACCTGCCCGACCAAAATGACGTCCTTGCTGTTGTTATACCTTTGCTGGTCATTGCAATGTCGAGACTGATCTGCAGGTTGCGAACATTAACTGCATATGTAATCGCTTACTACTTCTGTCATTTATAGCGCCTGCACTAATGAAGTTGCTTGATCAAAAGACGAAGAGCGTCTATAGTGATTTCGTATATAGCTAGCTGTCTAAAATATTGTATGAAAAACTTTGTATACAAGATACATGTTTAATTATTAAGAGGAAAATATCTTTTCAATGTATTTACAACTTGTGTTACATGTCAAGAAGGTTTTGGAACTAGGATAATTTTTTTTTGGTATATTAATAACTCAGTCGAAACAATTGCATAATCATTGTAGTCGTTGTGATGTGTTATATTGTAAATTTATATAAACACAGCACAGAACATCTATTCCATGCAATTTCCAAAACACAAGTACCTCCATGCAGGCTTACAGGCATGGTGGCCAGGCTTGGTGGCCAGGCTCGGTGGCCAGGCTTGGTGGCCAGGCTTGGTGGCCAGGCTTGGTGGCCAGGCTTGGTGGCCAGGCGTGGTGGCCAGGCTTGGTTAAAATTAACGCCAATGCGCAGGCCAATATCCAGTCAGTGTTTTGATTTTCCCAGATTTTGTTTTTCCTATCACTTGTTGTTTTTGCGTCATGTTTTAGTTACATATAATCATCCAGATCTTGTTAGTCAAAACTTGATGATAATGTTTGACATATATTGCCAGAGTTGTAGACTCGAGTCGTGTGACTTGGACTCGAGTCGGACTCGAGTCGCAATTTTTGTGACTTGTGACTTGACTTGTTAAAGAGACTGATGACTTGTGACTTGACTTGGACTTGGACAAAATGACTTGTGACTTGACTAATTGGACTTGCAAGAAATGACTTGTTACCAACGCAAGTCAAACGTAAATATCTAGTGAAAATCAAGTTTTCCAAAATCTTTGTGTTGATCGATCGATCGTCGTGTTGTACAATTTGGGCAAACGACCTTAGTACATATCAATGGCATCGACAGAATTTGTACCGGCGTATTTTCTGACAAAGCGGGTTTTTTTCGCGATTTCGTGGTAAAATTTCTGACATAAAAATAATGACGCCATATTTACATATTTTGCCGTTTTGCGTGGGAAAACATGGCCACATGTGGCGATAAAATTACTTGTGACTTGACTTGAATTGACTTGCCACTCGGAATGACTTGTGACTTGACTTGACTTGACTTGGATTTAGACAAAATGACTTGTGACTTGACTTGAACTCAGACCAAATGACTTGTGACTTGACTTGGACTTGCAGGAAATGACTTGTGACTTGACTTGGACTTGCAACATAGAACTCGTTAACAACTCTGTATTTAGCACAACCTTTCTGCTGGTTACTGAGATTGTTTGGTTTATACCATCTTGTATTTTCATAAATATATATACTATTCAAATCAAATAACACTTGTATCTGTTTAATTAAACAGGAATATATGTATAGCAATGTCGTTTCAACCACTTGCCTTAAAATTTGATCATGCTTAAGTCAAAGTTCACCGGCACTTTTTTAAGTCTAAACACTCGTCACGTGCATTCGCACTTGTACTAGTAGTTGACACCATGAGCTCTATATATCTGGAGCGCGAACTTCAGTCATTCGGCCTATGAGAAAAGTGAAGCCAAGATGGCGGAAATTAAGGTCCAATAGCTATGAAGGTCGTAAATATAAACAGTTTTAATTTTCCCAGCTAATTCCAGCTTTTTCTAACGGACGGTATCGCTACACAAGTTATCAGTTCATAAAACCATAGTGCTATTCTTTAAATCGATGTCAAAATACGAAATTTCGGTACACGCCTTGCCAGCTTCGTGCATTTTAACCGCACAGACACAACAATAGAAAGGGACTGGAACTGACCTCCAATAGCTCTTCAATTTCCGTCATCTTCACTTTTTGGACTCGACTTCTCGCATGTCCAAAATACACACCCATGCAAATTAACCATATTTATATGGGATTTAAAACATGCCTTATAATAATCTATATACATTATTGTGTAGAATGAGTTTTCTTCAAGTGATATATGGAACAACCTGAACATTTAGGCCTTATTTACATACTGTAAGACCGGAACGAACCCAAACTGGGACCATTTCGTTTCGGTCCTAGTGTTATTGTTATTTATAATGATACATGAGACCGGGACGAAAACGAACTCAGACCGGTCTCATTCCGCCTGTTGGACCGAGCCTGGGACGAATGCAAACACAAGTACATTTCAGACCGGTCTTGGTTGTAACCTTGGGCTGTCCTTGGCGTTGGAACAACACCTGCTAACTAAAGCCATCTAAAAAAGGGGAATAAATTGAAAATTTTGTGATTTTCGTACCGGTCTCATGTAAACATGCCTGACATTTACAAATATAAAACATTTTCCGTGTTGATATACAGTTATATCAACACGAGTGGAAATTGGGAAAACGAGAAATTGTGTGGAAACACGACGCCCGAAGGGAGGAGTGTTTTCACACAATTTCGAGTTTTCCCAATTTCCACGAGTGTTGATATAACTATATATCAACACGGAAAATGTTTTATATTTGTTTTATAATATAGCACAAAGAAATATAAAGAAAGAAATTTTCCGACGTTTCCGTGTTGACATTGAGTTATATCAACACGGCTCTTAGCCGATCAGCGTTCAGAATTTACAAATGCTGAAAAATTTCAATTTTCATTCCGGTTTCACTTCGTCTCGGTCGCATGCATGTAAACGAGGCGTTATATAACCACCAGAAAATATATACCTGTACTTATTGCACACTTGTGCCTTTATCAGGGCGATAACATGCAGGGTGGTATAAAAACGATATCGTCACTGATATTGTTTTTTGCACTGATATCGGCGTTTTTTCTCACTGATATCGCTTTTTGTCCCGCTATCAATAATTGTTGCATTGGGGCAATGACTAATATTCCGTAATGAATTCTGACCCTGATAAAGGCACAAGTGTATAATAAACAAGTTACCACTCTCGGGATGAGGAGATATCAGTTTCAGGAGATTTCAAGACGATATGATAACATTTATGATGTCGTCCCTCAGGCGATAAAACTGATATCGCCTCGCCCTTCATATTGTAACCTACACTTATTTATTCAAGTAATATAATACAAGCAATCATTCCACTTGCCCTTTTACTGAAAATTGCTTGTTGGATGGGACCGAATCGGAAAAATCTTAGCCTAGGGTGTAGATCTACACCGTAGGCTAGAAAAACCTCCGATCCGGTTCGATCCGCTGCTTATTTTTCGGAGTGGAAATTAGCCTTAATATACGCCTGTTCAGGAGGTAGAAAGTGCAGTTTGAATATCAAACACCTTGCACAAAGTCGAAGGAGGCTAAATGTTTTAATTCTACTTTCTTGGCATAGGCGGTTTTATATCAATACCTTCAATGTTTATAATTTCTTGCCTAGGATCGATATTTTTTGCTATATTTACAAGTCGAAATGAATGTATGATCATTGTGATGTGTGATATTGTAAATTTATCTCCAAAACACGACCTCGTGCACCTCCATGCAGGCTTGGTTATCATGGCAACATTCTTTGTATCAGGTTAAATTTTGTTTCTCCTATCACTTGTTGTTTTTTTATGTTTTATTTATAAAATAATCTAAAGTACTAAACCTTTTGTAGTCAAAATTTGGTCATAATGTTTGACACAGTATTTAGTGCAATCATTCTATTACAAGAGCTTCTGGTTGCTGAGTTTGTAGGGATTTGCATCTTGCAGGGATTATTCTAAGGTGCAGTGATAACTAATTTGTGCAGTGATAAATGAGATTTGTGCAGTGATACATTAGATTATGTGCAGTGATAAAATACGATATTGTTCAGTACCAGAAATTGGCGACAAAATGGCCACTATACTAATTTGCATATAATCCACATACAATGGCTTTCAGTTTTTACGGGGAATATAGCGGGTGAAAATATTTAACTCATAATTATTGCAATCTGAGAGCTCGGCTACTGTTTGCCGACCTCCAAGAAAGACCCTGGGAACGAGGTTGGCCGACCTCTTGATCAATAAAGCATCATTTACTAATGTTTCGGTGGCATATTTATTCCGATCGGGTATCTCTCCTAGCGGCCATGTCGTGTTAAAGAAAATAATAATAATAATATAATACAATACAATACAATACAATACAATACAATACAATACAATACAATACAATACAATACAATACAATACAATACAATACAATACAATACAATACAATACAATACAATACAATACAATACAATACAATACAACA